GCCCAGGCCACGGCCGACAGAAAAACAAACCCAATTGGCCACCAGCTTCGGTGGATATGATCAGTCCCGCAATTTCTCTGGCAGCAATTATCGAACCTCCCGGCGTTGCCAGCGGTACTCAAATTAGATATTTCCCCGGGGGAACCGATGAGCGATGTCGCGTAGCACCCCGACAAATGAATCCATGTAGTAATTCCGAGGTGGTGCGCGGGGGAATACGAGGAGCAGAAGAGCATCCCTAATTGTGTTTTCCTCGAGGAGGATCACCGGCACCAAGCAAAATCAGGCAAAGAGAGCCATCGAAACCATCGAGCCAGAAGACGACGACGACGACGGCGACGACGACGACGACGACGAATACGACGAAGATGACGACGACGACGACGACGGCGACGCGGTGCGGACGCCCTATGGGGGTGTGCAGGAGGGCGGTTGCTGCGTGGACCCGCCGTAGTCGACGACGACGACGAATGGCTGTGGGGCACGGGTGCTGCGTGGGCCCGCCGTAGCCGACGACAACGGCAACGACGACGGCGACGAAGACGACGACGACGACGACGACAACGACGACGACGACGACGACGACGAGGACGACGAGGACGACGCGTGGATGCCCCATGGGGCTGGCGGAGAGGGCGGAGAGGGGCGGAGAGGGCGGTTGTTGCGTGGGCCCGCCGCAGTCGACAACGACGACGACGACGAGGACGACGAGGACGACGCGTGGATGCCCCATGGGGCTGGCGGAGAGGGCGGAGAGGGGCGGAGAGGGCGGTTGTTGCGTGGGCCCGCCGCAGTCGACAACGACGACGACGACGAGGACGACGAGGACGACGCGTGGATGCCCCATGGGGCTGGCGGAGAGGGCGGAGAGGGGCGGAGAGGGCGGTTGTTGCGTGGGCCCGCCGCAGTCGACAACGACGACGACGACGAGGACGACGAGGACGACGCGTGGATGCCCCATGGGGCTGGCGGAGAGGGCGGAGAGGGGCGGAGAGGGCGGTTGTTGCGTGGGCCCGCCGCAGTCGACAACGGCGACGACGCACCGGATGCTGGTTGCTGCGTGGGCCCGCCGTAGCCAACGTCGACGTCAACGACGACGACGACGACGACGACAGCGACGACGTGCTGCAATTGCCCCATGGGGAGGGGGGAACGGGGGGGGATTGCCGCGTGGGCCCGCCGTAGTCGGCAATGGCGACGGCGCGGGGAGTGTGTGCTGCGTGGACCCGCCGTGCAGTCAACCCACATAATAAGGATGAACAATTTCCCAAGGCTGCCCTTGCTTGCTTACCCCTTCAGCCCATAGCGACTCTCGCTGGCCAACCTCGTTGGAAGAACGTTCACATGGCCCTCCAAGGCCCATGCATCCTTACCGCGCATCCTTATCATGCGAGTCCACTGCAGTCGATGATGTCGACCAACGATGGTGACCACGAAGACGACGATGACGACGACGACGGCAACGACAACGCCCTGCGAATGGCAGGGAGGGGGGGGCTGTTACGTGGCCCGCCGACGCCGACGATCACAACGGGGACAAAAGAACGAGGTTGGGATATCATTTGATTCCTATCGGAATTCAGCTCGAATGTGATTCAGATCCTTGTGGAATCCTATTGCAGCCCAGGCATCCCACTGGAATCCGATTCGAATCCTGAGGGGACTGTATGCGAATCCTACGGAGCCTTTCTGGGATTCGATTGGAACCATCTTGGGGAACGTGGAAGCGTACTGGAGCCCATGAGTCCTTTTGAAATCGTATTGGAATGCTATTCGAGATTGGGGTCTTTGTGAGATCCTACGGGAATGCACTCGGCCACCAACGAAGGAGAAAGAGAGAGAGAGAGAAAGAAATAAAGAATTATTGAACGAGAGAATAAAATCAAATTGAACGAGGAAGAGAGAAAGAGAGACAGGGTGAAGAGTCTGCGGATATGCAGATTCCAGATGAAAGGGGCAGACCATTGGTTTCGTGCCTGCTTTGGGGGGCCGACCACGCCAGATAATATCCCCCCGCGGCGACAGTGGCATGTCAGCACCGGATCTCATGGAACATTATCTCCCGCTGGGTAACAAGGAAACTTGGGATTCAGGGAAACCTATGTTTCACGTTTCGCGCATCCCCACCAGCCCCCGCGTTTCTTGCTACACGAGATGCCCATCTCGGAGGCCATCGGTCAAAAGGGGGGAGGGGGTCCCACGTGTGCCTTCCCCCCTGGGGCCATTACAATCGCTTCTTGGGGCCCCCTTGGGGCGCTCTTGGGCCGCTCTTAGGCGCTCTTGGGGCCGTCTGGGGAGCCTCTTGGGGCCGCTCTTGGGCCTCTCTCGGGCCAGCTTGTGGCCATCTTGAAGCCTAGAATGCGCATCGGAAGCGAAAAGGAGAGACGCCAACAGTAATTGATTATCCTCGGGTGTTCGAATGGTTTTGGCCTCTTGGGGGTCCTAAGGGGGCTCTGGGAGCACTTGGCTTGGAACCGTCTTGTGGTTCTCGTCTGGTTTGTTGGAGGTATGTTGGACATTATCTTGAACCATCTTCGACTATATTGAGCCGCCTTGGAGGCCATCCATCTTGGAGCATCGGAGGCCTTCTTGGTGCCATTTTGGGCCATCTTTGGGCGCCCTGCCACTCAGCGACCCCCCGTGAAAAGAACTTCAGGGAGGGGAGTGGGGGGCACCCCTCCCCGAGCGGAAGAGGGTGTTGGCAGATGCAGCAGGTATATCCTTGGACCACCTTAGCCAAACTTGCTGGTGGGATTGAAGTCCGAGTGGGATCTGATTGAGATCATTGGGATCTGGTCGGAATTCTTCTGGATCCCTTAGGAGTCGTAATGGCATGCGATTGGGGTCTTATTAGAATCCCGTTGGAAATCCGATTTGAATGCGATTGGGAGCGTGTTGGGATCCTCTTGGGATTCGATTGGGATCCTCTGGTTGGGTCTACGTAGAATCCGATTGGAATACGATCGTAATTGCATTGGTACCGAATTGGGTTCCCATTGGAATCCGACAGGAGCCCTATTGGAATCCAATTGGGTCCTTGTTGGAATCCGAGTGGTTTTGTATCGGGCTCCAGGTTGGAACCCGATTGGAACATGGGAAGCGTGTTGGAATCTTTCTGGGACCCTTAGGAAGCCCACTGGGAATTCTCATTGAACCCTTTTGGAACCCGATTTGGTTCCGATTGTGATCTTATTGTGTCCATCCTGTAATCTTCTTGGGCTCTCAGTGGGATCTGGTTGGGGCCTACTTACCGTGGCACCCCGCAATTGCGGATAAGAGTGAGGAGGCGGGCGCGGGCGACGCGGGCGTCGAGCCGGCGGACCTCGTGGCCCTCACCTTCCTTGTCGATGGCGCCTTCCTCCTCCTCCTGCTCCTCTTCCTCGTCCGCTTTGGCTTGTTCAGTGAACGCAGTTTGGGTCGCGGGTGGGTCGCGGGCTCTTCACCTCCACCTGGAAGGAATTAAAAAACAGCCCGCCGCAGGCGCCGAACATTTTGATTTGTACACTGAACGCGGTTTGGGTCGCAGGTTCTCCACCTGGATCGAATTCAAACGAAACCCGCCGCAGGCGCCGAAGTTTTGGCTTGTTCAGTGAACGTAGTTTGGGTCGCGGGTGCGTCGCGGGCTCTCCACCTCCACCTGGAAGGAATTCAAAAACAGGCCGCTCAAGGCGCCGAACATTTTGATTTGTACACTGAACGCGGTTTGGGTCGCGGGTGGGTCGCGAATTCTCCACCTAGAACGAATGCAAAAGAAGCCCGCCGCAGGCGCCAAAAATTTTGGGTGGGTCGCGGGGTGGGTCGCGGGTGGGTCGCGGGTGCGTCGCGGTGGGTCGCGGTGGGTCGCGGGCGCGGTTTGGGTGGCGGGTGGGTCGCAGGTTCTCCATTGGAACGGATGCAAAAGAAACTCGCTGCAGGCGCCAAAAATTCTGGGTGGGTCGCGGGGTGGGTCGCGGGTGGGTCGCGGTGGATCGCGGGTGGGTCGCGGGTGGGTCGCGGGTGGGTCGCGGCCGGTGGGTCGCGGGGTGGGTCGCGGGTAGGTCGCGGGTGGGTCGCCCGTGGGTCGCGGTTGGGTCGCCAGGGGGGTCTCGGGGTGGGTCGCGGACGAGTCGCGGGGTGGGTCGCGGGTGGGTCGCGGGTGGGTCGCGGGTGGGTCGCGGGGTGGGTCGCGGGTGGGTCGCGGGTGGGTCGCGGGGTGGGTCGCGGGTGGGTCGCGGGGTGGGTCGCGGGTGGGTCGCGGGGTGGGTCGCGGGTGGGACGACGACAACAACAAACAACAAACAACAAACAACAAACAACAAACATCAAACAACAAACAATAACAACAACAACCACAGCCACCACCACCACAACAACAACAACAACAAGAATCCGCATCGCGGAATTCCACTTCAGCCACGCACCCAGGGACAGTGAATGACCGTTCGGTTTAGCCCCCTCACTCTGATAATCGTGTTGGGATCTTGGTGGGATCCCGCATGGAGGCGTCCAGGGGCGGAGAATCACTTCCAGGGGGCCAGAATTCGAGCTAGCGTCACCGAAAGCGGGGGCGAGGCTTGCTTCCTTCACGAACGGACGAACTACCGAATTGCAGTCTTAATATTTATCTAACTTCCAGGGACACCCTATTTCATATTTCACGACCCAGGCACGTATCAACCGCACGGTACGGAGAACCGAACGGAACAGACGCGGGACAATTCGTTTGGCCCGTCCCCTGGAGAAGAGATAACCAAGCGGGATACATACGCGTGTACACATGTCCATACAAGTCAATGTATGAACACATACGTGTTTTGCAGTTGATCTTGACCGGGGCTGGTGGTCCACCACCTTCGCCCGAACGCGCAGTTTCGCTTCGCAAACCTCGACCGCCCGCAAACGCGACACTAAGCATACTCGACACGGAGTTTCAGAGTTCGGGATTTTCCGTGTCATGCCCATACGCCCTTCGCCTCGTTTCCTTTGTACGCGTGTGAAAATTGGCGACCATTACAGCTCAGGTTCACGACTCCAGTTCCCACAGCTCTCGCAGCCTAGTTTCAGTGCTGCCTCCCAGCTGAAGCGAGCCCTTTCCAAGATATTTGTGGCCATGGGCCGACGCCTTATGATGATGTGCCGTAAGACGGAGCTGTGCCGCTTCTACCAGAACGGCGTTTGCAAGCGTGGGTCGACGTGCGGCTTCGCGCACGGGGAGCAAGAGATCCAGACGAAGCCAGATTTGCAACGTACGAAGCGATGTCCCACGTCGGCCAATGGCCAGATCTGCGAGGACCACCGCTGTTCCTTCGCCCACAGCGTCAATGAGTTTCGCAAGTTCAAGCCGGAGTTGCACCCTGTGGATCCAGATGTAGTTGCCAGCATGAAGAAAAGCCAGACCACCACGTGTTCCGACAGTGGCTTCAGTTGCCAGAGCTCTGACAGCGGCTTTTGCCTCCAGACTCCCGACAGCGGGTTCAGCCACAAGGTCTCCGAGTGCTCAGGAAGCGGGCAGCACCCAACGCTCACGCAGCACAAAATGTTCCTCTGCTCGACTTTCCTCATGGTCGGGAGCTGCAGGAAGGACGGCTGCACCTTCGCTCATGGCGCCCACGAGCTGAACTCTCGCGATGGCCACAAGGAGTCCGCCTGCAGTGAGGAAGGCCGCCGCCCCAAGCAGGCCCAGCCGACGTCAGGTCAGGGCGGCGCGCGGCTGACGGCCCGCCTGGAGATCGAGCAGGTGCAAGCCGCGCCGCCACCGCCCTGGCAGCAGCCGCCAGCGTGGGCTTCAGATAGCACCCCGGAGCACGAGCCAGGCTCGGACGGGAAGTGAGGATAAATCCGTTCCAGAGCGTCCCAGAACTCTCTCACACAGCGTTCCGGAACCCTCCGAGGAGGCCGCGGCGCCCGAGACTTTTTCCCGGAAAGGGCGTGGGCCCAGGGTTCTCTTTTAGTAGGTAAACCTGTCCCCCGGTGCCAACTTGAGGGAGGCCGGCGAATTTTTTCCCTGATAAATAACGAGGTCGAAGGAGGCCGGCGAATTAAAATTTGAGGATGTCTCGAGCGAAACGCTTGTTTTTCAGAATTTCTTGAGGATGTCTCGAGCGAAACGCTGGTTTTGCAGAGTTGAGGATGTCTCGAGCGAAACGCTTGTTTTCAGAATTTGCTGAGGATGTCTCGAGCGAAACGCTGGTTTTGCAGAGCCGACCGCGACGCGGAAAAGCGCTCCGCGCGAAGGAATTTCGATGATGTCTCGAATAATTCGTTTGTTTTTGTACGATTTCCTTGAATTTTGGCAGGATGTCTCGAGCGAAATGCACGACCCCACCCTAGCACGACCATACCCCAGCACGACCACACCCCAGCACGACCAGACCCCAGCACGACCCCACCCCAGCACGACCCCACCCCAGCACGACCATACCCCAGCACGACCACACCCCAGCACGACCCGACCCCAGCACGACCCTACCCCAGCAAGACCACACCCCAGCACGACCACACCCCAGCACGACCTCACCACAGCACGACCACACCCCAGCACGACCACGCCCCAGCACGACCACGCCCCAGCACGAACACGCCTCAGCACGACCACCCCCCAGCACGACCACCCCCCCAGCACGACCACTCCCCAGCACGACCACACCCCAGCACGACCACACCCCAGCACGACCACACCCCAGCACCAGCACGACCACACCCAGCACAACCCGATCGATAAATCACAGGGTGCGGACCACCCCAGCACGACCACACCCCCAGCACGACCCACCCCAGCACGACCACGCCCAGCACGACCACGCCCCAGCACGACCACACCCCAGCACGCACGACCACACCCCAGCACGACCACACCCCAGCACGACCACACCCCAGCACGACCACACACCCACCCCAGCACGACCACACCCCAGCACGACCACACACCCAGCACGACCACGCACGACACACCCCAGCACGACCCCACCCCAGCACCCCAGCACGACCTCACCACAGCACGACCACACCCCAGCACGACCACGCCCCAGCACGACCACGCCCCAGCACGACCACGCCCCAGCACGACCTCACCAGCAGCACGACGCACGACTCCCCAGCACGACCACCCCCCAGCACGACCACCCCCACGCACGACCACTCCCACGCACGACCACGCCCCAGCACGACCACACCGCCTTGGTTGAGTGGTTGCCTGTCGTCGTGGAATGTTTCGTGGGGTGTCTCGTGGAATGTTTCGCGGGGTGTCTCGTGGAATGTTTCGTGAGGTGTCTCGTGGAATGTTTCGTGGGGTGTCTCGTGGGATGTTTCGTGAAGTGTCTCGTGGGATGTTTCGTGAGGTGTTGCCCAGTTGGGCATCGTGAAAACGTGTCCATGCTCCACATGTCTATATCCCTTTCCGGGTTCGTGGGTCCATCATGTTTCCCGGAAAGGGCTTGAGCCCAGGGTTCTCTTTTAGATGGTTTCCCCCCGGGTTTGACGGGAAGAGGGCCGGCGAATTTCTTTTGCGATAAATAACGAGTGGGAAGAGGGCCAGCGAATTAAAATTTGAGGATGTCCCTAGCGAAACGCTTGTTTTTCAGAATTTGTTAAGGATGTCTCGAGCGAAACGCTGGTTTTGCAGAGTTAGGGATGTCTCGAGCGAAACGCTTGTTTTCAGAATTTGTTGAGGATGTCTCGGGCGAAACGCTGGTTTTGCAGAGCCGACCGCGACGCGGAAAAGCGCCCCGCGCGCAGGAATTCCGATGATGTTTCGCGCGTGCCGCGTCCCGCGCGCAGGAATTTCGAGGATGTCTCGACTAATTCGTTCGTTTTGCCAGGATTTCTTTGAATTTTGGAAGGATGTCTCGAGCGAAATGCTTGTCGTTCATCATTTGTTGAAGACGTTTCGAGCGAAACGCTGGTTTTGCAAAATTGGGGGATGTCTCGAGCGGGGGCCTCGTGGGGGTCCTCGTGGGGGGTCCTGAATTCAGAGGATGTCTCAGGCGAAATGCTTGTTTTCACGTCCCGCTCGCAAGAATTTTGAGGATGTCTCGCGCGTGCCGCGTCCCGCGCGCAGGAATTCTGAGGATGTTGGCAGGATGTCTCGAGCGAAACGCTTGTCCCCAGCACGTTCCGTAGCGCGTCCCCTTGGCACGTCCCGCGGTGCGTCCCCATGGCACGTCCCTTGGCACGTCGCTTGGCGGGTCCCTTGAGACGTTCCGCGTCGCGTCCTCCTGGTATGTCCCCTTGTCAATTAGGTCTGGGGCAGCTACTATGTGTCCAGGCAGCTCGAGCTTAAGATCCAGATCAGTTCGGTCAGGACTCGGATGCAAAGGAGGACTCCATCCACGAGGCTATAGAACACAATCGCGGCATGGCACATCGCAATTCGGCACGGCGCAGCACAGCACAGATTTCGGCACGGTACATCAAGATCGATACACTCAGCGTTGCAACTTGGCACGTTCCGTGGGGCGTCCCTTGGCGAGTCCCCCTGGCACGTCGCGTGGCGCGTCCCCTGGCACATTCCGTGGCACATCCATTGGCACGTTCCGTAGCGCGTCCCCTTGGCACGTCCGGCGGTGCGACCCCATGGCACGTCCCCTGGCACGCCGCCTGGCGCGTCCCTTGGGACGTTTCGCGGCGCGTCCTCCTGGCATGCCCCCTTGTCAGTTAGTTAGCTCTGGGGCAGCTAATATTTGTTCAGGCAGCTCGAGCTGAAGATCCAGATCAGTTCGGTCAGGACTCGGATGCAAAGGAAGACTCGATCCACCACGCTATAGAGCACAACCGCGGCATGGCACATCGCAATTCAGCACGGTGTAGCACAGCACAGCCCTCGGCACGGTACATCAAGATCGATACAATCAGCATTGCACTTGCCCGTCACCCAATCAGGTGTCTTTGAAAACGTTGCCATGCGTTACATTTCTGTATTCCTTTCCGGGTTCGTGGGTCGATCATGTTTCCCGGAAAGGGCCTGGGCCCAGGGTTCTCTTTTAGTAGGTTAATCCCCCGGTTTTTACTTGAAGGGGGCCGGCGAATTTCTTGTGCGATAAATTACGAGGTCGAAGGGGGCCGGCGAATTAAAATTGTAAAGACGAAGGCCATTTTTCGCCACCCCTCACGCAGATCGTGCTCTTGGAATTTTACTGCCTTTAAGGAAACCTCGATATTTCACAGGTGAAGTCAACTTTTTTCCGACATCGACTTTACACGATAAAAAAAGGTAAACGCGTTCGCTCGATGAATAACGAGGTACCGCGGCCTCCGGAACGGCGCTGGGAACGGAGTTTTGGATTCTTGAAGTTGCATAAGTTCGGAAATAGCATAAATCTAATGTGTTTTTTTACCCTGACCCCGCGGATCTGCATGAGGGGTGGCACCGAATTTCAGAAATGTGGCAAATCCCCTGTGTTTTTGGTCCCTGACCCCTCGGATCTGCGTAAGGGGTGGCACCGAATTTCAGAAATGTGGCAAGTCCCATGTGTTTTTGGACCCTGACCCCACGGATCTGCGTGAGGGGTGGCACCGAATTTCCGAAATGTGGCAAGTTCCATGTGTTTTTGGACCCTGACCCCGCGGATCTGCGTAAGGGGTGGCACCGAATTTCAGAAATGTGGCAAGTCCCATGTGTTTTCGGACCTTGACTTCGCCCAGGAGGGCCCAGGAGGCTCCAGGAGAGCCCAGGAGAGCCCAGGAGGGCCCAGGAGAGCCCAGGAGGGCCCAGGAGGACCCAGGAGGCTCCAAGAGGCACCAGGGGGCCCAAGGAGGGCCCAGGAGAAGCTCCAGGAGGCTCCAGGAGAGCCCAGGAGGGCCCAAGAGGTCCAAGGAAGACCCAGGAGGGCCCAGGAGCCCTTACGAGGGATCGTGGCCCTGGGAGCGCTGACGTAGCGTAATTTACGAGGGATCGTGGCCCTGGGAGCGCGGGTGTAGTGTAATTTTTGAGGATGTCTCGAGCGAAACGCTTGTTTTTCAGAATTGGTTGAGGATGTCTCGAGCGAAACGCTGGTTTTGCAGAGTTGGGGGGATGTCTCGAACGAAACCCTTGTTTTTCAGAATTTGGTGAGGATGTCTCGAGCGAAACGCTGGTTTTGCAGAGTTGGGGTATCTAACATGGCGTCGGGCCCAACGCCGAATTATAAGGAAACGCACGGGGGGCCGAAAAGCGCTACCCGAACACATGTCCCAATACAGAAAAGTGATGGTTTCTTGCTCTGAACAGGGGGTTGCGCTGTGGGGGGCTCTCCAGGGAAGACGTTGCGAGGATGTCTCGAGCGGGAGCGCGAATTCAGCGTATCCAGGTCACGCAGGGGGGTATCTAACATGGCTGTCCCGAGCTGGAACCACGTGTTTTTTTCATGCTCAGGCCACCCAGGGAGATCTCTAACATGATTGCCCCGAGCTGGAACCACGTGTTTGTACGTGTCCAGGCCACCCAGGGGGTATCTCTCATGGTTGTCCCGAGCTGGCACCGTGTTTTTACGTGTCCAGGCCACCAACACGACGCTTATCCCCAGCACGTTCTGTAGCGCGTCCCCTTGGCACGTCCCGCGGTGCGTCCCCGTGGCACGTCCCCTGACACGTCGCCTGGCGCGTGCCTTGGAACGTTCCGCGGCGCGTCTTCCTGGCATGTTTCCTTGTCAATTAGCTCTGGGGCAGCTACTACGTGGACTATGTGCTCAGGCAGCTCGAGCTTAAGATCCAGATCAGTTCGGTCAGGACTCGGATGCAAAGGAGGACTCGATCCACGAGGCTATAGAGCACAATCGCGGCATGGCACATCGCAGTTCAGCACGGCGCAGCACAGCACAGCCCTCGGCACGGTACATCAAGATCGATACACTCACTCAGCATTGCAACCTGGCACGTTCTTTGGCACGTTCCGTGGCGCGTCCTGTGGCGAGTCCCCCTGGCACGTCGCGCGGCGCGTCCCTTGGCACGTCCCGTGGCACGTCCATTGGCACGTTCCGTAGCGCGTCCTCTTGGCACGTCCCGCGGTGCGTCCCCATGGCACGTTCCCTGGCACGTCGCTTGGCGCGTCCCTTGGAACACTCCGTGACGCGTCTTTCTAGCATGCCCCCCCGTGAATTAGCTCTTGGGCAGCTATTGTGTGCTCAGGCAGCTCGAGCTTAAGATCCAGATCAGTTCGGTCAGGACTCGGATGCAAAGGAGGACTCGATCCACAACGCTATAGAGCACAATCGCCACGTGGCACATCGCAATTCAGCACGGCGCAGCACAGCACTGCCTTCGGCACGGTACATCAAGATCGATCAACTCAGCATTGCAACTTGGCACGTTCCGTGGCGCGTCCTGTGGCGAGTCTCCCTGGCACGTCGCGCGGTGCGTCCCCTTGCACGTCCCGTGGCACGTCCATTGGCACGTTCCGTAGCGCGTCCTCTTGGCACGTCCCACGGTGCGTCCCCGTGGCACGTCCCCTGGCACCTCGCTTGGTGCGTCCCTTGGCACGTCCCGTGGCACGTCCATTGGCACGTTCCGTAGCGCGTCCCCTTGGCACGTCCCGCGGTGCGTCCCCATGGCACGTCCCCTGGCACGTCGCCTGGCGCGTCCCTTGGGACGTTCTGCGGCGCGTCCTCCTGGCAGGTTCCCCTGTCAATCAGCTCTGGGGCAGCTACTAGTTATGTGCTTAGGCAGCTCGAGCTTAAGATCCAGATCAGTTCGGTCAGGACTCGGATGCAAAGGAGGACTCGATTCACAACGCTATAGCACAATCGTGGCATGGCACATCACAGTTCAGCACGGCGCAGCACAGCACAGCCCTCGGCACGGTAAATCAAGATCGATACACTAAGCATTGCATTTGCCCGTCGCCCAATCAGGTGTCTTTGAAACGTTGCCATGTCTTACATTTATACATTCCTTTCCGGGTTCGTGGGTCGATCATGTTCCCGGAAAGGGCTCGGGCCCAGGGTTCTCTTTTAGTGTGTTTCCCTCCGGTTCTTACGGCTATAGGGCCGGCGAAATTGTTTGCGATAAACAACGAGGTCGCCAAGGGCCAGCGAAATTATGTTTGAGGATGTCTCGAGCGAAACGCATGTGTTCATAATTTGTTGAGGATGTCTCGAGCGAAACGCTTGTTTTGTATTATAGATTGTCTTCTTCTGAGAACCAGAATTCAGAGGATCTCTCAAGTGAACTGCTTGTTTTCACGTGCCCAGGTCTTGAGGATGTCTCGAGCGAGACGCTTGGGTTCACGTGTCCAGGTTGCTCAGGCAAAGGTCTAGCGCCAGGATTTGTTCAGGATGTCTCGAGCGAGACGCTTGGTTTCACGCGTCCTCGTCGCCCAGGCGGATGTCTAGAATGAGGATGTGTTGAGGAAGTCTCGATCGAGATGCTTGTTTGCACGTGTCCAGGTTGCCCAGGCGGGTGCCTAGCATGAGGATGTGTTGAGAATGATTTGAGAGATACGCGTGTTTTCACGTGTCCAGGTCGCCCAGGCGGATGTCTAACATGACGATGTGTTGAGGATGTCTCGAGCGAGACGTTTGCTTTCACGTGTACAGGTCGCCCAGGCGGATGTCTAGAATGAGGAGGCTTTGAAAACGTCTCGAGTGAAACGCTTGTTTTCACGTGCCCAGGTCACCCAGACGGACGTCTCACATGAAGATGTGTTGAGGATGTCTCGAGCGAACCACTTGCTTTCACGTGTCCAGTTCGCCCAGGCGGATGTCTAGCATGAGAATGTGTTGAGGATGTGTTGAGCGAAACGCTTGTTTTCTTGTGTCCAGGTCGCTTAGGCGGATGTCTAGCATGAGGATTTTGACAGGATGTCTAGCGAAACGCCTGTCCCCAGCACGTTCCGTAGCGCGTCCCCTTGGCACGTCCTGCGGTGCGCCCCCCTTGGCACGCCCCCTGGCGCGTCGCCTGGCGCGTCCCCTGAGACGTTCCGCGGCGCGTCCTCCTGGCATGTCCCCCTGTCAATTAGCTCTGGGGCAGCTACTATGTGTTCACGCAGCTCGAGATTAAGATCCAGATCAGTTCGGTCAGGACTCGGACGCAAAGGAGGACTCGATCCACGACGCTGTAGAGCGCAATCGCGGCATGGCACATCGCAATTCAGCACGGTGCAGCACAGCACAGCCCTCGGCAGGATACATCGAGATTGATACATTCAGCATTGCATTTGCCCGTCACCCAATCATTTTTGTTTGAAAACGTTGCCACGCGTTGCATTTCTATATTCCTTTCCGGGTTCGTGGGTCGATCATGTTGGAGTCGTCGGGTCTCAGAGATTCTCGAGTTGTCCCCACCCGATGGTGTCCTCGTCCTGGCTTCCTGGCTTCGCTTGCAGGAGGTGGAGGCGGAGGAGGAGGAGGAGGAGGAGGAGGAGGAGGAGGAGGAGGAGGAGGTGGAGGCGAAGGAGGAGGAGGAGGAGGAGGAGGAGGATTTATCCTCACCCGCTTTCGTCCTCGTCCTGGCTTCGTCTTTGCAGGCAGCTCCGCCCCCTCCGGCGACGGCTCGCGGGCGTCCCCGGCCGAGCTCGAGGCCCACCGGGGGCAGGCCGCCTCCCGCGGGCCCTGCGCGGGAGAGGACCGGCGGTGTGCAGCACGAGGGGGCATCGGGGGCGGAAAAGAGGGGGGTGATGACTAGGGGGGGGTGGATATCATGGCGGGGGCCATGATATTTCCCCAGATTTCAGGGCGCCTCTTCTTGTTTCATTACGTCCCTGGCCCCCCCGCTGGGCCGCGCACATGCCGCCTGTCATGATTTGCACACCCCCCTCTTGGACACCCCCCTCTTGGCCGTTCCCGAGGGCAGGGGCGAGGGGTCCGGGGCAACGACAGGGGGGGGACAGGACAGGGGAGGACAGAGGGGGTAGGACAGGGGGGGATAGGACCGGGGAGGATTGGATAGGAAAGGACAGGATAGGATCGGACAGGATAGTACAGGGGAGTATAGGATGGGGGATAGGATAGGATAGGATAGGATAGGATAGGATAGGATAGGATAGGATAAGGGGAGGATCGGATAGGATAGGATAGGATAGGATAGGGAAGGATAGCATAGGATCGGATAGGTGAGGATAGGATAGGTGCGATAGGCGGGGGAGGATAGGATAGCGGAGGATAGGCATCTACCCCCAATCGTCCACTTCTCGCCGATAGGGCTCTGATAGCCCCAACCCGCCCCGGAAGGCGCGGTTTCGCCATCGCCGATCCGTCGGCGACGTGTCGCCGATTCCGGGCCGATGTTTCCCCCCCCCCTGTGCCGGCCCCACCCCTACCGTTGCCCCTCAACGGAGGAGGGGCCGGCCCTCGGAGAGCGCAGGGGGCCTCTTGAGAAGCTGGCGGCGGCATCCGAACCCCCTTACTCGTCGAGATGTTTATTTGCGTGTGTAACGGACCCTTCCCGCCCCGAGCAGACTCCACCGCTCCGGGACACGCTTCGCATACGAACACCACGCCCCGGGGAGGGCACCTGATATATATATATATATATATATATATATATATATATATATATACACACATATATACACATATATATATATATATATATATATATATACACATACCGGTGGACATACCCTTGCCGATCAACGGTGCAGGTAATTCGGCGGGCGCCCGGGGTGGGTTTCGGAATTCGTGGAGCACGTGGCGAGATTTGGGCCTTATTCCCGCCTCCCATCGATCCAGGAGAATCGATGGTCGGAGGGAGTAATCGCCGCGAAGGGTCTTTAACCCCCCTCCCAACACTGGCTTATCGACGGATTGTGACCCCAACAATCTCAAGAGAATATGTTTCCCCCCGGCGGCGGCCACCGCTGATGTTCGGGGGGGGGATGAGGATCCCTGATGATGTTGCTGCTGTTGCTGCTGTTGCTGCTGCTAATGACGATGATGACGATGTCAACGACGACGATGATGATAACGATGACGATACTGATGATGATGCTGACGATTATGATGACGATGATGATGCTCATGCTAATGATGATGATGGTGATGCTGATAAGCTGCTGCTGTCAATGGTACTGGTGATGCCGATGATGATGATGCTGATGAGAATACTGATGATTATGATGCTGCTGATGATGGTGGTCAGGATCATGATGCTTATGATGCTGGTGATGATGATGAGGATGATGCTGCTGATGATGATAATGATGATGAGAATGATGGTAGTGTTGATTATGATGACGATGATGCTAACGACGATGATGCTGATGATGCTGATGATGAGGGTCATGATGATGATGATGATGATGATGATGATGATGATGATGATGATGATGAAGATGAAGATGAAGATGAAGATGACGATGAAGATGAAGATGAAGATGAAGATGAAGGGAAGGACGAGGAGGGGATGACGAATTTGCTTGGCAGCCGAGGGCTTCGGGGGGGGATTCGCATGGAAGACCCTTCGCGGTTAGGGCTCGGGTGTCGCCATCCAAGCAGGGCGGCGGCCACTCCTGGAGGAGGCTTCCGAGAAGGCCTTCCTCGGAAGGCGAGGTCTCCTGCGAGGCGGGGGCATCGGGGGAGCCTCGGCGGCGTGCACAGGGGAGCCTGGGCGTGGGAGCCCCGGCCCTCGGAGACCGCCAGGGGGGCCTCCCAGGTGGAGGCCTCCGCGAAGCATTGCGGAGGCCTTACGTCGGGGGCGGAAAAGAGGGGGGTGATGGCTAGGGGGGGGTGGATATCATGGCGGGGGCCATGATATTTCCCCAGATTTCATGGCGCCTCTTCTTATTTTATTACGTCCCTGGCCCCCCCGCTGGGCCGCGCACATGCCGCCGGTCATGATTTGCACCCCCCCCTCTTGGACACCCCCCTCTTTGCCGCCCCCGATTACGGCCGGCGCCGCCGACCCCGAAGGGAGGCGACGACGACAACGGCGGCGGCGGCGACGACGCCAAGGATGCTTCGTGGGGTCTCCTCGGGCGGCTCGCGGGGGCCTCGGGGGAGGAATTCGGGGAGCCCTGCTGGGAGCCTCCTGGGGGCCCTCTTCGGGCTTTTTTCTGGGCATCTCAGGCCATCGAAATCGAATCGAATCGGAGGAAGCGAAACGAGCCCTGCCAGCGTCGATGGGGTCCGCAGGGGTCGCAGAGCGGGGCCTCTTGGCAGAGGGGGCCTCTGCGAAGGATCTCTTCGGCCGGCGAGGGCTTCGGCGAGGCGGGGCGTCAACCTTGGGAGGCCAGGCATCCCCCCCACTCTCGCCTTTCGTCGGGCATGTTCCTCTACAGGAGGTACTTATCAAGAATGGTATAAAAAAGTATGTGGACGATGTTCGATTTTTGTGTCCAGCTATTTTTGAGCATTGCTCGAGTCTGTTAAAAAAACATTCTCCAGAATCCGGCCTGGAGGGGGACATGCCCGACCTAGCCCTCGCCCTGCCTCGGCGCGCCGCGGAGGCGCTCCCTCCCCGCCCCGGCGGGCGATCCAGGGCGCGCGCCGGGGCGTCGTGGAGGGGCCCCCCCTTCGGCGGCGAGCGAGGGGGAGGGGAAGTGCCGGGAGCTTCGGGTTCGAGGTGTTCGAGGGTTCTCGAGGGCTCTCGGCGCCTCCTCCGCGGTGCTCCAGCCTCGGGAGGCGCTCCAGCGGCTGCGCCTCGCCGCGGGCGCTCTGGGGGTGTCCTCATCGACCCGCACGGCCACCGGAGAGCCGAGCTATGGCCGAACAACCACCAGGCGCCCGAGAAGGAGGAGGCCCTCTCAGAAGGCTCGGAGGCCCCCCCCCGGCCTTCTGAGAGGCTTCTTATGAGCCTTCCCCGGAAGCACAGGGAGCTGATCAGAAGGCGCGAGGGCTTCTGAGAAGTGCCTCCAGCGCCTGGCAGGCGGCGCAGGGAGGCCCAGCGCAAGCGGCGTGCTGGCAGTAGGGCTGACCGGCTGGTGAGGGGCAACGTCAAGGGGGGGGGGGGGGGGGCAGCTCCTGGGCCAGCTCCTGGGGGAGGAGGCGCAGGAGGCGGAGGCGGAGGCGGAGGCGGAGGCGGAGGCGGAGGAGGAGGAGGAGGAGGAGGAGGAGGAGGAGGAGGAGGAGGAGGAGGAGGAGGGCGGGGGGGCTTCCGAGCCTTCTGAGAAGGCCTTCTCCTTCTCACTTCCCTTGGCTCTCCGCCGACCCCTCCCCCCGGAGGCTGCAGCTCCAGGGGAGCTCGGTCCCGTGAGGCGGACCGTTCCACACAGGGCCTTGCCTTCGAGGGCCGAAGGAGTTGTCGTCTCTTCCTCTGCGGAAGGCGGCGGAAGGCCGGCAGAAGTAAGACGAGGCTGCCTCCGCCGGCGGAAGGCTGCGGAAGTAAAACGTTCCCCTCCAAGAAATGACAAGAAATGATCACATTTCTGGGTTCAGGGTTTCTGGACTCCGCCATGCGTGTGCGCGCGCCTGCGTGTGAGCCCCGAGGGCGCCATCGATAGCCTGAAGTTACTCGCGCTTTGCGGTTCCGCTCCGAGTTCTTCTCATCCTCCTTTCCTCCCCTGGGGGGCGGCGCGAGGGCTCAAAGTTACTCGCGCATCGCGCAGCGCGAAGCGCGAAGCACGAAGTTAGGCGCCCTCGGATCCCCGCTTGGCGGCCCCGTGGCGGATGACTGTTGGCACCGCGGCCTCCTCGGAAGGGCGCCCTCCTCGGAAGGGCGCCCCCTTCCCGCCCCTTCGCCATGCTCCTGCGCGCCGCGGAGGAGTATCCCCGTCTGATCGTCCAGAATACGTTCCTGACCGTCTTGGAGGGCCCACCCCCGAGGCTGCAGCGCCGGCGGAATTCGGTCCCGTGATGTGCGCCGTCACCTTTTGCACAAGTCGAAGAGTAAAAAACGGCGGGCCCGGCGCAGATCCAAGAGATCCGCGCGGAGCGCCAAAAGTTGATGTTTCTTTGCGTGCTCGTGCACGCTCATGTGTGATAAGTGAGGGGCGTGGGCGGAAGGGAGAGCACAGAGGAGGACGGGTTGGCACAGGGTGTGTTGAGGTTCGAGCTCAGGTCCGCGGGTGGGCTCCGACAACGGCGCTTTTCCGAGGGATTGCCCGAGCAGTTCTTTGCGTTTGCGTGGGCTCGACGGTCAGAGGAAGCTTCGTTGCCGCCCGGCACGCTGCAGAGTTCATCCCCCGCTCGGTTTCCCCGCAAGCGATTTGCGTTTAGCCAATCCCTGGAGCAGGGGCGCCCACGCTGCAGATTTCAACAAGCGATTGGCGTTTAGCCAATCCCTGGAGCAGGGGCGCGCGTCCCACGCTGCAGATTTCCCCCCCCCCCGCCGGGTTTCTCCGCAAGGGGATGGCATTTAGCCAATCCCTGGAGCAGGGGCGCTCGTCCCACGCTGCAGGTTTCAATCCCCGCCGGTCTCCGCAAGGGGGTGGCATTGAGCCAATCCCTGGAGCAGGGGCGCTCGCTCCCGCCAGTCGGTCTCGCCCGGCATGCCCCCCCGCACCGGGGCGGCACGTGTGCAGAGCGGAGGCTTGCAGCTGGCAAGCGTCACGCGGGACTTGGACGTCTCATGATTCACCCTCGCAGGAGCGAGAAGCGAGATGGGAGAGGGAGCAGGGAGAGGAAGCTAGCTCGGTGCGCGAGCAGCAGGAAGCCGAAGAACAGGAGAGGATCGAGGACGAGCAGGAGCAGGGGGAGCTGGAGCAGAAGGAGCGGGAGGAACAGGAGGGACCAGGAAGGGAGGGGTGCGACCACGATGAGGAAGGCCCGGATCCAGAAACCGGCGGCCCACGCTGGGGCGAGAGCGCCATGCTGGACGGCGGGAGCGCTGCGTTGATCCTGATACGAGACCAGCGCTGCAGCGGCAGCACTCTTTTGAGACTCTTAGGGAAGGAGCAGGCGGAGCAGGAGGAGCAGGAGGAGGATGAAGAGGAGGAGGAGGAGGAGGAGGGCGCGGAGGGAGGGATGGAGATGCGGGAAGAGGAGAAGGAGGAGGAGGAGGAGGAGGAGGAGGAGAGGAGGAGGCGGGAGGCGGAGGGGGGACGGAGATGCGGGAAGAGGAAGAGGAGGAGGAGGAGGCGGAGGAGGAGGAGAAGGGAGGGACGGAGATGCGGGAAGAGGGAGGGCCACGGCCACAGCGCCCGCGCGCATGCGCGCTCCCTGTGATGGGTTTCCTGGGCGGCGCACGGCCTATAGGAATACTGGGACGGTCGGCCCCCGTTCAAAAAATCGGCGCCACCCCAACATACTGACACTGCGCGCGCGTCGCCCCCCCCCCCCCCCAGGGGCGACGCGCGCACCGAGGAATCGTCTAGTATATGCGTCATGGCGGGGGCTTCCTGCCCACGCCCCTCGGGAAACGCTATATAACAAGATGGGCATACTAATGGTCGGGTCGGGGGCGCGTCCATAGAGGACATGTAGGCACCTCCACGGAAGACATCTAGCACCAGTATGTCTGTGTGCGCGCCCCACCAAACGGCATAAACATCCATTTCCCCAAGGTGCGCGCGGAGGTTTTGGAACTGCGCTGCGCCCCCCTCTTTGTCGCGCGGAGCGCGCCAGGGGCGGCGGCGGAGGCGCCGCCAGGGGGGGCATAGCGCCGATCCGAGACATCCGCGCGGAGCCCCGAATCTGCATGTTTACGACGTTAACTGTTTCTCTGGCATCGGGGGGGCCCCGGGCGGGGCGGCGCGCCCGAGCGCCGCTCCTCAGTTCGCGGGACGGCGCTCGGGCATGCCACAACCCAGAGGTCGCATCCCACCCCGCCAGGCGGGGTGCGGTGCGACCTCCCCTTGGGAGGGGAGGTCGCACCTTACCCCCCCTCGGGAGGGGAGGGGTTCGACCTCCCCCTCAGGGGGGGGGGGGGGGGGGGGGGGGGGCGACCTCCCCTCCGGGGGGGTGCGACCTCCCCTTGGGGGGGGAGGTCGCACCTTACCCCCCCCCCCGGGAGGGAGGGGTTCGACCTCCCCTCGGGGGGGGGGGTGTTCGGCCTCCCCTCGTGGGGGGGCGACCTCCCCTCGGGGGGGGGGGGGCGGCCCGCCCCCTCCCCCCTCGCGAGGAGTTCTCGGTGGCGGGGGGGCCCTGCCTCCTGTTGGGGATCCACGGCTCCGAGAGGAGAGATGCAGCAGGGGGGGCGAAGTGTAGCGATCGAGAAGGCCTCGAGGATGAGGCATCAAGCAGTTCAGGTCTACCCGAGCAGGCAAAACGAGTCTCGAAGAAGAGAACTAGCATAGGCATAAGCATGAACTCTTGGTGCTCCGCGCGGATTTATCGGGTCTGCGCCTGGCCCCCTTGGCGGCGCCTCCGGAGGGGTGCCCAGCGCTGATCCGACAAATCCGCGCTGACCGCCAACAGTGTATGTTTATGCCGTTTTCTGTTCTTCCAAAGTTGCTGGATCGCGCCTTCACGGCCCGTGGTGAGGCTGGACTGGGTGCCTCGTCCCTTTACGGGACACGCTTGTGCTGCAGACGCGTATCTTAGATTCGAGACGCAGCCGTGGTTGGCTCAAGGCCGCACGAACGCGTATGTTTTGTTTTCCCAGTCGTTCCCTCCGTTGCGAGGTGGTGCACCGGCCCCTGCATCTGGACGCCCGAAATGGGTACGGAAAGAATTGGTACAATGCCCAACAGCAGTTCTTGTTCATTTTGAACAGGATTCGCTGTCCACGCCGCCGCGGCCTGTGTCCATTTGAGACAGAGGGCCGCCTGCCCAACAGCGGCCGCTGTTGGTTTGGGGCAACATGTGCTGTTGGGCATTGTACCCATTGTTTCGGTACCCATTTCGGGCGTCCAAACTGCAAGCTTGTGCACGGGGAGAGCTGGAGCTACCCCGCAAGGCGCAAACGAGATCAGCAGTGCACTCAGTCCACTCTTCCAGCTCCGCAGCAGCCACCTGTACACGTCAGGGCACGCTCGGCCTGCCATATTTCCTAGGCTTCCGTTAATGGGCATCGCCTTCTAGTGAAGCCAGGCGGCAGCTGTGGTAGTCTTTGATGCATATGCTCTCTCATTGAGAACTGAGATGTGGCGGCTGAGGGGTGCCCGCCCTCGTTTCTATCTTCCCCCCTCGCCCCGTCCTTTCCCAGAGGTCACATTGTGCTCCAAGAGGGCCATTTGATTGTTGGAGATAGTCCATGTCCTAAGGCACTCACTGATTGTTTGACGAATTCTGAAATATCAGTGCGTCGGCTGCAACAGCCTCATGGTGTCTCTTGGAGAGCGTCCTCCTCATTATTTCGTCATGGTTATTCCTTCGTATGGTCCCTCCGCATTCTCACCACCCTTATTCCTACATGTTTCTCTTTCTCCTCGGACGCCCTCCTACGTCCAGCTGCCTGCGGCAAGTCGCGTCACCTTGCCAACCTAGCATTCAGGGTGGTGGCCACTGTTCATCTCTAGGTTTGGGAGAGCTATGATCTGGAGAATGGGAATGATGAGGATGATCAGGATGATGACGATGATGAGGCGAAGGATGAGGAAGGCTGGAAGGCTGGGGCGCAGCTCCCGGGGGAGGCCCAGGGACGGGCGCGCCTGCGGGATCGCACCGCTCAGTACGACTCCACGTACGTCTTCTCCAGGCCGATCCACTTGTCCCGGTCAGCAGCGAGTTGCGTCCAGCTGCGATGCCCCTCCGTCGCACAGAACCGCCATAAAGTGTCTTCCCACTTCGTGCGCCTCCCGCACGATGGACGCGTCAGTCTGCCCCAGCCAGAGTTTCTCGTGTCCCGTGTCCATTCAGAATCTCTCCAGAAGGTGGCTCTCCACACCCATGAACTCGAACTCATTCTCCACGCGTGTCCTGCCCACGACCACTCACGTCGCGCGTGTGCTTTGGTCCACTCTCGCACTCCCACGCGATGCGCCTTTGTCCACGCCCTCTTTGTGGCTCTGGAGATCCACTCATGCCATTGCTCGTCTGGCCTACGATGGAAAGCGCAAATGTAGCGTAGCATCTTGTTTTGAGCGGATTGGAGAATCCGTAACTCTGCAACCCGGGGAGTCCACGAATTCGAACAATACAAAACACTGCTGCCGACAGAAACGTCAAGTAGTCGAAGCCGGCGCGAGATAGACACTTCCTGGTTCATCAACAGCCGTTTCATGGCCCAGAACTTGCGCCATCCCACAGAAATCCGGTGCTGAATTTCCGCGTTGGTCACGTCGTCCAGAGGTACCACAGAGCCGAGAACTTCCAGAGGATCTCCCGCCGCCAGCACGTGCAGGGAGAAGCCGGACCATATTTCCACGTCCCCGCGCCGCACTTCCTGCAACCTGTTGGTCTGGGCCTTGCATTTCGTGGGGTGTAGGTTGAGCCCTCTTTTCCTCAGTGCGTCTCGGAGTGACAGCACCATGCGCTTGAGTGACAACCAAGATCGCGCAACCAACGTCACGTCGTCGGCGAAAGCCACGTGTGTGAGACGTCTGCCTTTGAGCTCCTGCCCCACTGCGGTGCCGTATCCTCTGCGTTGCCAGACGCTGTTAACTTCCTTCAGAACTTGCACCATTACCAGATTGAAAAGCACTGGTGAAAGAGGGTCCCCTTGACGGACTCCGCGTTGTACATGGAACCGCCTGCTCTCTACGCCCGGGGCCACTTGCACGTAGGCTGACATGTTTCTGTACAGCTTCCTGAGAACACAAACAACACCAGCTTCAATATCAGAATCCATTATGGCATCAAACATTTGTGCGTGATGCACTCGGTCGAATGCTTTTTCGACGTCAAGGGTTGCCAACCACAATTCTTCGCCCCATTCTGCTGGTTTCTCAACCACCATCCTTAAAACATGTACTGCGTCATCGCATCCCCTTCCTCGACGAAAGCCGTATTGTTCGTCCTCCAGCTTGTTCTCCACATGGTCCCGGATGCGGCTGTAGAGCACAGTGCTGAATAATTTCGCCATCACTGGGATAATCGATATCGGCCGGTACTTGAAAATGACAGACAAGCGAGCGACCTTCCATTCGCCTGGTGGCTCCATTCTGCCTTTCAG